AGAAATAACTAGTATATATATATATATATATATATATACACACACACACACACACACACACTTCTCGCTGATATAGCGTAATACAGTGAAAACTATCAGACTTCTGCATAGCTGTTTCTAGATAGTGTCCATGACATGTCAAAAACCAATACAAGTTGAAAAAGACATAGTAACTACCCTATGACCTAATGTCTTTCACTTCTAGATAACCCTCCAGGAGAGTGTTAGACTAGGTATGGGATCTTTCAAATTTAGTATTTCCCTCACAATACCCATAGAAGAAAGTCCCATCTGTGTTTCTACAGCATTTACTACGATCCTAAAGATGTCAGTAGCAGAAACAGATAGTGACAGAGTAACAAAACACTGTGTTTGTGGCATAAGATGAACAACATTATCCAATGCAAAATAAAAGCTCTTTACCATTTTCACCATTAATACAATAAACATTGAGAAAATCGCAGCAATTCTAAAGTGTAGAATTAAAAAGAAGTTACCTTTGAAGGTTTCAAGTTCTTTCCTGCAGGAGAGAGAAAGGCAGAATAGAAAGTCTCAGATTAAAAACAGATATGTTCCATAAATGCAACTGGGATTATCTATGAAGATTTGCAATGGTTTAAAATGCATGAAAAGGTGAAATGAAGGATTCGAGTATCGTGACATTTTTAGAAACTTGGTTACTGGAAACTTCTAGCTGCACATACAGAGCTTGAAAAATTGCTTTCCTGAAGCAAATAACTGATATCAACTTCTTTAGAACTGAGCTACCACATATTACAAATATATATTATAGATTTATATCTATTCTCACTATTTCTAGATCTGGTTGCAACGATAACATAATATGAACTCAAGATAATCAAATAATAAATGAAGGCTTCTTAGGTCCACTGACAGACACTAAGACATCCCTGCTGCTTCTCAGAGCTTTGCCAAGCTGTAGCAGAATGAAAACTGACTACTGTCTTGTCAGTTTTCAGGACTGACATTCAAAACCCTATGGTTAGCAGTGAAATAGACACATATCTGGTAAATTTCACTGTGCTGCCTGAGAAAGCTGATTTTGGAGTTATTTACTGGAGGGGGAGGATTCAAAAATATGGAAGGAATAGTGACACCACACAACTCTGCAACCTGAAGGAAGGAAGACATGTAGAACAGCAGATACACCCATTGATCCCTTCATACACATGCACTTCCCTTTCTGCCTGAAGGCATTACAGTGAGAGGTGAGTACGAATAATTTAACTTTTTTTCTTCCTTCTAGCAAGGGAGGGGGGGAGGAGAATTAAAGGGGTTGTGTCTTGGAATTATTATTTATGCAGGGTATTACATTAATTGAACCATAAATTCCTTTATTACATTCAAAGGCCAAATGGTATTTATACAATTGCTCTAAACATGCCTAAAAAGCCTAAATAAGCAGAAATTTACTACATCAAAACAGTAACAAAACATTTTTTAAGCATTTGATCAAGATACTTAGCACCCTGGGACTTAGCCCACTTGTAAGACCCATATTAGTCGGCTCCAACATGGTCAGGTATATATTAGCAACGAATCCTTTAAGGGTTTACGTTTTTATACCCTTTAACAAACAAGTGATGTCACTGCCAATTACTGACTTCAGCTAAAAACCAATTTGAAACACTTCATGCTCATTTCCAGTCTCAATCCAGGTAAGATTTATAATCTCCTTTCTCCCCAAGGCCATTTCTCCTCATTTTTTCCCCTCCTTCTTGCTGACTGTGACGGGGCAGAGTGGTCCCGCACTGGTACCGCAGGGGTTAACCCTTCTTTCCTAGCAGAGGAAGCCATGCCCCGGAAGCTCTGCTGGGCTTGCTCCAACTGGAGAACGGGTATAAAAGCCTGCAGAGCAGCTCAGTCCGGGCTAACCGTCAGAGAAGGAGGCACGCTGCTAGCTCCTGAGGAGGGAGAGCCTGCACGCCAGGACGCAGAAGCCAACCAAGCCGGGACACTCCCTGATACCCCGACAGAGGAAGTCACAGTAGGACGACGGATCGGAGGACCCCCCCAGCAGAGAACCTGGCATTTATGGTAGGAAGTGACCCAGGGGAACTTTAGAGGCAAATGGCGTTTGAGCCGCATAGGCACTCAGCGTGTTGCAGGCGGATCCCCGCCGAGCGGGTGGCAAGGGGAGCTTACCACTACCAGGGCCCTGGGTCAGGACTCGGTGGAGAGGGCGGGCCCGGGTCCCCCTACCACCTCACCCCTGAACCGTGAAGGGATTGTATGGACTCCAGCCGCTAGGCCGCAATACCCCGCTTACAAGGGGGATTGTATAGACTCTGTCCGCGAGGCCACACTACCCCACCTGCGAGAGGGATCGCACGGACTCCGACCGCTAGGCCATGCTATCCCGTTTGCGAGGGGGATTGTATAGACTCTGGCCACTAGGCCGCATGACCCCACTTGCGAGGGGGATTGTATAGACTCCAGCCGGTAGGCCACCCTACCCCGCTTGCAAGGGGGACTATATAGACTCCAGCTATTAGGCCACACTGATCCCAAGCAGGGAGCAATTTATGTGGACTCTGGCCATTGGGCCACACCACCCGGGTACTTGGGGCCAGGTACACGGACTCTGGCCGATAGGCCACACTACCTCGCCAGCCAGGGGTGATTGTTTGGAAGGAGGCCACTAGGCCGCCCACAGAGAGATGGGCGCTGGAACTTGAGAGTGGCGAGGCGCCGACACCACATCCCACCCCTGCCACAAAGGGGTGCTGTGGTGCCAGGCCCGCCACACTGACCAATAGTTTCTCCTTTGCACCTTGGTTTACGTAGGCCCTAATTTTTGAGATAACATTGGTATATGGGGTGGGAAGAGCCAGGTTGGCTCATTTTATCTCTTTGTCATAATGAAAACCCTCTGCAGTTACCCCTATTGGTCAGAGGCCTTCTTTTTAGAAACTTCCCTTTATTTCATTAGTTATTCTTTGAACCAGACATCCAGCCTACTTCATTCCTTCTGGCCTTACAAGTCATTACTTTCAAGGCCTTTCTTTTACTTGCTAGTTAGGGCCTTTCTTTACAAAAGATTTCCTTAACCAAACTTAAGCTAACATTAATTCTCTAATTTTATATTTACTCTACAGAGTGAGTACTCAATTTGTCCATATCCACCTCCATGTAATAGGCGTATGATAAATTTGGAGCCCGAAGCAAAGTCACAGTAGTAAGCTTATGTGGGGCAGGGGAAAGCTGGCTTCTTCCCAGGGCAATGCCCTTGTATAGTGCCCATTCATTACCTGCCCCAGTCTTCAAAATCAATCATCAGCTAGTAAGTTTAAACTCTCTAGATGTTGGGTATCTAGTAAATTTCCAACCCTTGCATGCAAAGCAGACAAGAGAGCAAGAGAAAAAGTGATGGGTTGCATATGGAATTTTTTTTTTGCGGGGGACGGGTTGGAAGTAGCGAGAAGAAAGACAACAAAAATCTTGAGATTAGGTGAATAATACAGGGAAACAAAAGGAAAAAAGCAGACAGACACTAAAGACAATTCTGGAAAAAAAGTACCATGAGCTAGTATAGGAAAAAAAAAAAAGTTAAATGAAATCAGAAAGGGAAAGGTGGCATAAGAAGAGATGAAGTAAGTAGGGCCTGAAAAATATTATTCAGTCAGTATTTTAGACTAATTTCACCT